GTCTGTTCTATTCCTATAGTTCATATATATTTAGGTTTTCAAAATACTAAAATCATCCCACATGGTAAAGAAAGATGAGGGGACTGATTTCCTTAGTTGTTGTTTTTGTCAGTAAGACAGGTCTGCCGCCAGCCCAGCAAACAGCTACCTGCACGTCATAAATTCTTCCGCAGACTCCCCTGACAACACAGGTCAGTGCCTCCACGGACAGTTCCGAGCACAGACTCAGGGGCACTCAAAGCCCTGCCCAGAAAAGAAAAAAGACCTGTGTAGAGCAAGTTTCAGGAAATGTAACAGAAAAGTATTTACCCTAACAAGAATTTAAATTAATTCAAATAAAGTTTTACTTTCTCCTTTTCATTTCCAAAGTCAATGTCTCAAAAACCATCAGGCTATTTGATGACACTGCCACAGCAGTAAGAGTTGATAAGCACCCATCTCATTTAGGCTGAGTTCTAGAACTCAAGAATGTAGGGTCTTCAAAGCATGGTGGCTCACGCCTGCAATCCCAGAACTTTGGGAGGCCGGGGTGGATGAATTGTTTGAGCTCAAGAGTTTGATATCAGCCTTAGCAAGACCAGTCTCTACTAAAAATAGAAAAACTAGCCAGGTATTGTGTTGAGTGCCTGTAGACCCAGTTGCTCAGGAGGCTGAGAGACTGAGGTTGTTGTGAGCTATGACACCACAGCACTCTACCCAGGGTGACAGAGTGAATCTTGTCTCAAAAAAAAAAAAGATTGTAGTGTTCAAGTTGTGACTGTTTTGACTGGAGTAACAGTGACCAGTCAGTCCAGTCAGATTGGTTAAGCTGGCTGCAAGGACCAACCAGACCTGAGCCTGTTCTAATTCAATAAGCTACTCTGTTATGTCATGTCACGCACAATTCATTTATTTCAGTATCCTACACAGCACGCTGGACAACTAGTGAAGTACAGGTGGGTTATCCATGATATAAGCATCAGGATAAAGTGTTGCTCCTTTGATTGCCTACATTCCACCTTGACCCTGGTGTTTGTCAGGCTGGACTTTTCTTCTCCACCAAATCCCCCCACTTCTCCCACCCCCACCTGCAGTGTCTCCCGTTGCATGCTTCAGTCATCCGGGCTTCCACTCTTGTTCCCGTCATCTATTCTCTTTAAAAGAGTC